TTTTTTTTTTTTTACATTATTTGGTGACGTTTTTCCAGAACTGGAAATGGTATACGGTTATGATTCTGTATGAGATGTATGAATCATTCAAAAATTTGAAATTTTTTATCTAAGCAATCATTTTTAGTTGATATTTACTTTAATTATTATTTATTTCTTTCTTCCCCATCTTTTAGAATTGTAAAATTTGGAAAAATTGAAAGTTAAAGAGTTGCTATTTTTGTATTTTTGATTTTTTTTACTGGAATGTTTGAAAATTTGCATATTTTTAGTTTTGTGGATTAAAAAAGAATTTTTCATTTCTCTTAAATCTGTTAAATATATGATTGAAATATAAAGATGATATTAATATAAGGGAAGATATTTAACTATTTTATTAATCGTCTTACTTCAATTATTGTTCTCATTAATTGTATACAAGTGGTTTTTTGTTTTGTTTTGTTTTTTTTTTAATTTTTTATTATTTGTTTCTTGATAGAGGAATAATTAGAATTAGTCTGTTGATAGAGGAATAATTAACTTCAATTTTGAATTATTGTTTAAAAATTCTTAGGCAATAAATTTTATTTTTTCAATTTATTCTTTTTCCCTTCTCTTTTTTTTTTTGATTTTCAAAATTTACCACATTTATTTTCAGATTACACAACTAAAAAACAAATTGTAAAAAAAAAAGAAGAAAAAGTATCAAAACTATATCAAATATGACACGATATTATATTGAAATATTTTGTAATATTATAATATTATGCTTTATTTATTCAATGATATTACCTTAAAGGTATTATTCTGTTGTTATTTATTTAAAAATTTTTTATCTTTAGAATATGATCATGTTATAAAACATCAAAATTAACCCATTTTTAATTACTACTTTACCTGAGTAGTTAAATTAATGAAGAGGAAAAGAAGGAAGGAATGAGGAAGGCAAATAAAGTAATTAGACAAAGTTTAACAATGTAAGTAAATTCATATTTGTCGTGTATGTATATATATATATATATATATATATATATATGTGTGTATGTATGTTTACGTATGTATGTATGTGTGTGTGTATGTATATCTGTGTATGTGTAGGTATATTTGTATGTGTATGTGTGCATGTGTGTGTATGTATGTGTATATATATATATATATGTGTACATATGCTTGGAATGTTGTCCTGTCATCTTTAGTAATTGTAATTCTCATTTCATCTTTTAAACATTCTTTTTTTTTCTCTCTCCTTCTTCACCTATGAAATTGTTATTTAACTAAACGTTTTGTCAAATTTTTAAGCATTTACCTTTTTGCTTTTCTCTTTAATTTGATTACATTTCTACATTTTAAAACATTCTTTTTTAAAATGTATAATTTTTCTTTTTCTTTTTCATTTCTCTGTCTACAGTTTCATTTTTTCTTTTCTCATTTTAGTTACTTCCTTTTGCTTATTTAAATCTTTTTCTTTCTCATTGGTTAGTTGATTTTTTTTTTTTTTTCCTACTGCACTATTTGCTTTATCATTGCTTTTGTATTTATCATTTCAGTGTTTGGTGCCTGGTGCTGCTACTGCTATTACTGATATTTGTTGCTGTTGATTGATTGCTAAATTTGACATACCCCGAAAGAAAGAGGAATCGAAAAAAAAAAGAAGTTCTATTTTATTGTTTGAAAAAGAGAGGAAGAAAAGTTGACCTCATTTAATGTGATGATAATTTGTTATGAGAATTATTTGTGGGAAAAATTAAAAATGTTTAATTTTCTTCTTCTTCTTCTTCTTATATCTTATTTTAATCCTTTTTTTTTTTTGAATTGGAATAAATTTCTATTTATAATAGAATTATTTATATAATTCTATAGAAGTTGAAAATTTTTCAATTAGTTAATAATTTGTTTTTTTTTCTTTTTCTAAAGTAAAAAAAAAAAAAAAATTTGATTTGATAATTTCAGAAATGGAAAAGAAAAAACAAAAGATTACTTTTTGGTATATTTTCTTTCAAATCATTCGATAATTTTATATGTAAAACTAATCTTTTTTATTTCTTATTATTATTTTTCCCATTAACTTATCCCATTATTTCCAAACACTCTTCAATACGGATGTGCTTGTATATCATGTACTTCAAGTAATAATTCATGAGATCATGCCACATCCGTCTTGACGATTGCTAAATTT